CTGGATAAGAATCAGACATTCGCCTACACTTCGTCAGACCCTATTCAGCATGACGTCGTATGATGATGCTAGTCAAAGAAGGATGAAAACCCGTCGAAACGAACGGGCAAGTCTATCTCTCAACTCGACTGTTCGCGTACTAGCGAGGGATACCGTGGTTTCAGTCAAACAAAGCCCTGGCAGGTCACCTTTTTGAACTTGCATTTTGCTCAAATCATATACCTACAGGTTTCGACCCAACCAGGCTCTCTGCGCAAGGCCTCGTTAGACTACCTGGTTGTTGCGAGATTTTTTCCTTACCCAGCAACAAGACGGGCCCTCTTGTAGGGCCTATTGTGTACTACTCTCACCCAGCTGAATCGAAACACCCTCCAACTGAACATTATGACCGTCCCAGTCCCTATACGTGAGGGGAGTTGAGGAGATCGATTATTGCCTCCATGGAAGCGCATCAGGCTGGCTGATATGACCGAGGTTGACATTTGACTGATCCCCGAGTACGGGAGCTTCCGAGCTTCTCTCGAAAGCCCGGCTATCTAGCTAAGCTAACCTAAATTCAAGGTTGTAACAGGTCCGGCCACAGAAGCACGCTCTCTTATGACTGTAATGTGGTTTTGAAGTACTTAATCATCAGCGGGGTCAACGCACTGTTGCCCATTTACATCTTCATTGTCGTTGGACGCGATGTTTTTACAAAATCTACCGAATGGGTTCTTTAACGATGATTGACTCACGACAACCCGATAAATCATGAGGGCCTTTTAACCGTGAAACATCTAATTAGAGTTTGGTCCGGGTGGATCTGCTCGCTGCCCTTTCAACAACCCTTGTCTTCTATGAGCCATTCTAAGCCCCGAGGCTTTTCGTCCCAACACATCATTCAGAACCCGATGCTGTAGAATCCGCCTTTCACCAATGCCTGCAGATATCTAAGTTGCGCTGCTAGACGAGACCCACGCCCGACGCCGTGGCTTGAACGTTCCGCCATCAAGGGGTACGCTGAATAGGCATTCTTCAACCGCCCAGCCAGGCCATAATAAATGGCCATCTGACCCCCACACAAATACTTTCTCTAATGCAGAACGTATAGTATCATGGATGCCACCTGCGTTTAGGTACGTTAGGCATGTATTTTCGATTTTGAACGCCACACTCACCCACTCTAGCATTTAAGATCCAAATCCACGGAAGCCCTCTTACTTCTAGGCATCTGTTCGAACCAGTTCGCATGTTTCGTGCTTGTGGTAAAAGGCGTCCCGGTGTATTTTGACCCGCGGTACCCTGTGTTGGTTCAGAACGGAATGCCCTAGAGAACCAGTCTATGTCTGGTTCTCTACCTTTCCCACTACGACCGAGGTTTTGGGTCTAATTCGAGACTCAACTGACCGAGCTGGTCCATAAGTCATCGCAATTGGTATGATTCCGTACTACCTGGGCTGACAGACACTAATCTTCAATGCGGGAGTCATTATCCCCGCCTACCAACGAACAACTTGACCTATTGTGTAATATCCGACACTCGACGTGTTTGGGTGCACTAATTATACCCACAATTGGAGGGAATGCTCTTAGATTGACTGACATCACATGGCAGATGTACGCAGTAAATACCATATAGAAAGTCCTCCAAAGTTCCATAAAAGGGCGTTGTGAAATCACAGCATCCTTAACTTGGTACCCTGCACCAAGTAGTCATCAACAAAACAGTGAGAGAATTCTGAATCTGGGCAGCGCATAGGAACGTAGAAGCCGACGAGACGTTCGCGATTATCTGGACGAGTGAAACAGCCGGGAAGAGTCTTCTTGCAAAATGGACAACATGGTTCGCACCGTCGCTTCCTTAGATACTGAACGGCCAATAGAGGATTTCCCAGGGCTTTGGAGAGCACAGAATCGTGAAAGAATTTGTTGAAATAATCATAGCAATAAACGTGACCACAGCCTAACACAAGGTCTACCACTTCACAAAAGCATATCTTGCATTCATAATGCTCCTCAAGGGAGCGGCCTGTACCCTTTCAGCAACGGTATGTATACACCAGAGAAGGTGGGGGAATCATTGCTCACCGCGGGTGCCGCACTCCTTTTGCTGGCGGCTGTTCGAAACGGTATCAATAACATTTGTTGTATGGCTGGGCACCGTAGTTGTAGCATCAAGGACAATCGGATCATCTTTTATGATTAGGGCGGCTATTGACATCATAGTGGAGCCGAAAACTTACCGATACTATCTCCTGGACGGTGCGAGCGATGTGAGAAACTATTGAAGTCCCTCTCCACGTTACTGGAAGTACCAGTTCCAATAGGGTTCCCTGCAAATGGGCTCCGTAGATATGCCGAGGAAATACCGCCCTCATCCTCGTCGTCACTTGTTAAAGGGGTAGGGCTTGGGGACGTTGGCAGCAATCCTAGTTCCGCGGCACTCTGGGGGTGGCCGACGGGCAAAGTCTGGAGGTCTCTAAGGACAGGAACGGCCGGGCTCAAGAAAGGGGGCATATGTGGTCCAAAGTGACTGTGGATAATCGAGAGAGATGTTGAAACAAGTCAAGCAAGAAGACTATCCAATATGCGGCGCATAAGTTGTAGGTTGAGCTGGGGGACCGGGCAGGCTTTATATGTGCGCCGATACTCCAAGTTAGTCTTAGACTCGAGGAAAGATGACGCTGGATCTGCTTCACATAAAGCCAATACCGGCTGGAAATGATGCCTGTGGGCAAAGTCCCCGTAGCGCTCCGACTTGGCTGACCTATGACATTTCCCAGGGATAATTCGGCTCTCCATCCCATAAGGCCCAGAGTTTTTTTTGCCCGTAGCACACGTAAAGCGGACTGGCTCAGGCCCTAACCGGTGTTTGGCCTTGAGGGACTGGCGAACCGCGCAATCGTTCCCGGGACGGCCACTCACCCCAGGATGACGGACAAGACTCATGGGAACATTTGCTGCGTTCCGGAGACACCGTTTGGCAGTCCTCGGAGCACGGTCTCTCCCACGTTTTACCTCTTTTGTCAGGAGTGGCGGTTTGCTAAGAACTTTCCCTGCCACTCAGTTATTATAAGAAATGCCGTCTGCGCCGGAGTCTTTTCATACAATCGTTCCGTGCGCAGTTTCAAAACGTCCTCAACATTGACTTGGACATCTACCCTATTCGCCATAGAAACCCACACGCACTGACACACCACGCCTACCAATTTTTCTGTGCTTCAAGTCCGAGTTTCTCTGACACCATATCATGCTACTCGACCTTCCCAATGAGATTCTTTTGTGCATTGCGGAAAGTTTTGACCTGTCCCGCGACATCTTGGCGTTTGTCCAACTTGCCAAACGAACGTCTCGCCTGCTACTTCCGGTTCTCTACAAATTCAACATTGAAAAGCAACACAGCTCGGCATTATGCTGGGCAGCCCAGCATGATCACTCGCCGTTGGCAGAACGACTTGTTCGA